TTCCCCTCTTGGCCTCCCAAGCTTGTTGCTTCTCTGCGCCTGTCCTGCCGGGACACCTTCGCCCTCCCTCCCGATCCCGGCTCTTTAACTCGCCTTCTTCTGCTGCCGGGAACCCCCGACCTGCCTTCCCAGAAAACGGTTTTGTATAGACACGCTTCCCCGCGCGCGTCTTCTCAAAAAAACACCTTGTACCTGATTCTGGCCTTTGGGGGCTGGTGAGGAAGTCAGAACGCAGGCAAATCGAATCAGCACAGGCTTCGTTTACCTCCTAAAATTAGAGGCACGCCTTGATGACTATAATTTTGCTTGAAGTGCTTTACGGAAAAATTATGTGGGAGCCCATTGTAACCTAACAGGTTGTATGACGTTGAAGAAAAGGTGACACAAATATCCAGAAACCGTAGGGTAGGGTATGCTATGGTGTGCCTTCCTCACTGCAAAACCTTGGACACTTACTGTGTGTGATGTGGCAAACATGATGATCTATCTGTTCAGTCCCTGCCAACCAGGCCACCCCCACTCCCACCCCCAGCCCAGGTCACAATCGTAGTCCCATATCTGTCGAACGGCTGCAATTTAGAAATGTCGCTGCTCTGATTCAGGAATCTTTCTGTACTCGAGACTCAAGCTCACTGTGCTTTTACAAAAGCAGTCAGGAATGTGCTTCCTAAAAGGAAGGGACCCACACGCCCTTGGTGGAAGGGATCTGAGCGTGCCAACAAAGTAATGGCAGTGAGCTCCGGGCCAGCCAACACAAGTACACTGCTTCTCAGCCCTCTGTGTTCAAGAAAACCTCCAGGTCGAATCCAAGTGTTGAAGAACACAGCTATCTAGGTGCGTGATGGCAGGACAGGCCTTGACCAGTCCCTTAGTAGGGGAAGAAGGGAAGGCAGGCAAGGGAAATAAGACAGCAAGAGAACACAAAGTGAGGAGGGACCCAGAGTAATAGAATCAGGGAACGTTTGAGATTGAAAAGTTGTTCTGGCTACTTTCATCCAAATGCCTAATTTTCAAGGCAAGGAACCCGATGTCCAGGGAGATTTAAGTGGTTGGCTAGAACCGGATACGGGCAGAGCTGGAATGAGACCTGAATCCCTGTTAGGTGAAAAAGGTGCCTGTGAATAACCACCCCATGTGGTCTAACCTCAGATTTAGCAGAGTAGCTCAGGTTCTAAGATAACCAACGTCCAGCCGTTTCCTTAGAGGAGTGACCACTGCCGATGGACTGGAGTCGGGGAAGAGAAACAAACCTCCTTCTGAGAGGTTAGTTTATTCATTGGTGTCCGTGCAAAACTTTGACGCCTTAAACCAAAGTTCAACACAGAATCCACTTTTTAAATTATCATGCAGTTAAGTTAGAATCTTTTGTCAACCGGATAAGGCAAGAGACTGCTGCCATGAAAACATAGGTTAAGCGATAATCATGCTGCCTGTTGTGCCAAACGGCAAGAAGAAAGGGGAAAAAATGCATAGTTAAATAACATCTGCATCGATTATTTTCACCATGCAGGTTTATAAAAATCACGTTAAAATTTTAATCCAAGTCAACATGTAGAACACTACAGTATTATGTGAACAACTTTTTCAGATCTGGAATAACATACCTAGGAATAAACGTAAGCAAGGAGGCGAAAGCCCTGTACGCGGAAACTGTAAGAGATGGACGAAAGAAACTAAAGGCACAAAGACTGGAAAGATGTTCTGTGCTCACGGACTGGAAGAATAAATACTGTTAGAATGTGCATCCTATCCAAAGCAATCTACAGATTCAGTGCAATCCTATCAAAATTCTGATGGCAATTTTCACAGAAACAGAACCTACAATCCTTAAATTTGGGTGGAACCACAAAAGACCCCCAAAGCAGTCTTAAGACAGAACAAAGCTGGGGGCGCCCCAGGTGGGTCAGTCAGTTAAAGCTTCTGACTTCAGCTCAGGTCATGATCTCATGGTTTGTGAGTTTGAGCCCCGCGTTGGGCCTGCTTGGGATTCTATGTGTCCATCTCTCTGTCTCTGTTCCTTCCCTGCTTGTGCTCTCTCTCTCTCTTTCTCAGAAATGAGTAAACATTAAAAAAAATTTTTTTTAAATCAGTTGAGCAAATTTGAAAAAAAAAAAAAAAAAAAGAACAAAGCTGGAGGCATCACGGTTCCTGATTTCAAGCAATATTACAAAGCTATACTAATCAAAACTCTTTCAGATCTGCCTAATGCGTCTATAGTGTGCATTCATTGATTCTCTCGAGCATTTCTTGATATCCTCCCAGACAAGCTGCTAGATGCTAGAAAGACAAAGGCAAATCGGTTCCTGTCCTCAAAGAGCTCTTAGTCCAGGGGAGGAGTCAGACAAGAAAAGCAATGATCAGGGTACCATGATGAGTGAAATGATAAAATGATGCTCTATGGGAGCACAGAGAAGGGCAATTCAGCTAAAGGAAAGGGTTGGTGAAAACAATCAAGAAAGGCTTCCCTGAGAGAGGGACTCAAAGCTGTGTCTTCAAGCAGCCGAGTGGGGAAGGTGGAGAGAGAAGAATGAGCCAGAGGCAACAGACAGGGCAAGGAGCTAGGTGGTGCTTGTCATAAGTCAGAGCAGATGCAGTCAGAATGTAAGAATGATGGCCTGAACCCACATAGTAACAACTGGCACAGAAAGGAAGGGGATGAACAGAGAGAGATTTGGGAAAGAGAAGTGATGGGGCCTGATTGGATGTGGGGGGGAGGGGGGAGAGGAGCCCAGGTTACGAGTGCCACCAACTGAGAGTAGGAATGGAGGAGAAGCAGTTATGTGGAAAATGATGATGCACTGAATCATTCAGAATCTGAGGGGGCCTCTGGTACATGCTGGAAGACTTGTCTCATAGGCCATCAACAGAGAGATCTGGAATTATCATCATTTAGGTGGTGGTATGGATGAGCTCACCAAGAGTTGAGATCACCCACAAAAGGTAGCATGCTGTGGGGAAGCAAAGGCTTTGGACCCATCCAAACTCCATTGCCCACTCATTACTGTGTAACCTTAAACAAGTTTTAACATACCCCAAACTCAGTTTTCTCTCTCATCTATAAAAGAGGAATGATGATATTCATCTCCTAGGTTGTTATGAGGGTAAACGAGGGGTTTGTAAAGTAGCTAGCACAATGCCTGCTGACACCACCCAAGTCTTGGGGGCAGTGAATGTCACCTCCTGGAATTGTGCAGTACACAACCTGTTCAGCTGTACAGCATGGCCCTGTCCTGATACATAATAAGAGCTCGGTCAATGTTATTCATCTAAGGAAGGAAAATGGGAAGCAAAAAGAAAGGGATCAGAAGAGAACCCAAAGGAACACCAGGATTTAAAGGGTAGGTGAAAAAAAGAGCCCTCAAATAAGGGTGAGAAGGAACTACTTCTTTTAGACCACAAAAATAAATATCACATTTGAGAAGTAAAACCCAGCCACTACGATCTATCAAAATATTTTTTTCTGATCAGTAATGACACGATATTACAACCTGTCCACATGAGACAGCAGTCCTGTTGATATTCATAATAGAGAATCATTTCCTAGTCTGAATTACATACCTCCATAAAGAAAAAGCAAACAAAATGTTCACATTAACCGTAAGTAATCCAAACTGTGACAGGAATCCATTAGCTTGTCATATACCTGAAGTCATATAAAAGCAAAACCAAAATAAATTCAAAGCATATTCTCCCTACATATGAGGCCAAAAATATATCTAGAAATAGAATGACTAGCTTTCTCAACATGTACGTGTAAGATGCTACATAATAATATATACCATACTATATGTAGTATATAATAGATATATATTATATATTATAAAATGCACTGAGGTCCTACATAAGAAGAGAATCAAATGGAATTTCTTTTCAAAAATTTCTTTAATTAATATAAAGAAAAATCGGGGCGCCTGGGTGGCTCAGTCGGTTGAGCATCAGACTTCGGCTCAGGTCACGATCTCTCAGTTGGTGAGTTCGAGCCCCACGTCGG